AGACTCGGAGCTGTCGCAGGTTCTGGTTGAGGCAAAGAAGACCAAACGGCCAGTGAGTAGACTTTGACCAAACGAGTAGTCCTTTTGACTAAACGACCAGAGAGTAATCGTCGGCGAAACGACAAGTGTGAAGTAGTCTACCCGACGGAATGCAAATTTGTCTGCTAAAGTGAAGATGTTACGTACGGTTGGCTTCACGACTTTAGGCACTAGCTTTCTGATTTCCGAAAACTGTGCTAACGGATGGTATGTGTAGCATTCAAGCTTGACCGTTTTCATAACAGACTGGACCTGCCACTCGGACGTCGTCAGAGTATTAACGCCGCCAGTGTCCGCTTTTATCAGTATTTGTTTTCTGCGACGCCTCCTTCCTGATTCTGCCTATGTTTCTCTCCGTGGCCAATTTCTGTAAAGTTTATTCAAGACGCCGTAACATATCCCCAGATGCTAACTTCACACCTCCCTCCGTTTGGACACCTGTATTCCTTTCCATCACAGGTCGTTGTGACGTATGGCGCCAGCTGGTGAGTTTCCCCGATTATATGGTGTCATGCAGATTACATGGCATCCATGGTTAGGAGCATGGTGCATTGTTTGATCTTAACCGCAACCACACTAGTTTTATGCTCTGCATGTGTATGAGGAACTTTCATTATTTTGTTATCGTAACAACTCTCAGACCAAGGCATTTCACCTCCCTATCTGAAACCATAATACCATCTGCATACATCCGTGCAGGTGCCATGCGTGCAGCAAGATGCTTCCCACCTTTTTCAACCTGAGCAACGAGTACTCGCGGCCCATTTTTGTGTACGCTGACGTGGATAAATGCACTCAGATGGCCGAGGACGTTCGCTACACCCCCACCTTCCGCTTTTTCCGCGAGGGCAGTAAAGTGGACGAGTTCTATGGGGCAGGTCCGCAGAGGCTCCGGGATAGAGTGTGGCTGCAGTCATGAGAGGGTGGTATGGCGTCTGTATGCCAAGTTTGTGTGGGAGCAGTGACTGTGTATGTGTGTAGTGCAGGTGGTGCATGGAAGCGGAAGGCATAAATGAGGTGGCGCCGCCGAGCTGACACAGAGATGCAGACTGGCCAGTGGGCAGAAGCAGATGATGCAGCATGTTTCATTGTGCAGCTGGCGAGGGGAAATGAGTCTGTCAATAGATTACCGTTAGGGTTGCATCCGCTCATCCTTCGTTGGCCATGACGACGGTGTAGGAGTCAATTGTGTCACTCTTTTTCTTCTCCCTCGTAAGCAGGACCGCAGGGGTTAGAGTGCATTTATCCTGTTCATTCCATTTTAGGTAGAGTACATTATCCAGCATTTTGGACTGGAACCTACATAGCTGTAATGCTCATTCTTGCTAAGTTTCGGTTGATTTGCTTCCATTAATTTCGTGTGCAGTGTGGGTTTTCCACTGTGTAGCTTGGTGTTCGTTTAATACCTGTATCCAGCCTTTTCTGTGACTGCTTTCAATATTTAACATCTGTTGTTTGTAATTTGCAATATCACCGTTTAGTGTATCCTTACACGCTACGTTCTGGACCTCACTCCAATCTTGTACAATTCAGAAGGATTTCTGGGTTTCCACCAGGTGGCTTGTCATGACTGGCTTGAAGATTGCGCTTTGAACTCCACGAGCTGCGCGAATCCAGCTTGCTTCCACGCTGGCAGAGCACTTGTGTTCCTCGCTTTCTGAATTTCATCGGTCCAGTCTGGTTGCTTCAGTTTTTCTTCCATCAATTTGCTCACAACGATTTCTGTTTGCATCACTAGTGTTTCGTTGTTGGCTTCCTCCGGCTTCGGTTTTTCCTTCAAAATCTTCTCGCGGCCTGCGGTCCTAGCCACTTGTCCAGCTCTGAACGTACCTCTGGGCTGCTGACTGATCCTTTCAAATCATGGCTACCGCCGCTGTCAGAGTCCTGCAAGCTGCAGCAACAGGGCCTTACCACGTGTCCCTTCAGAGAAATGCGACCAAACTAGAGAAGCAGGCTAAGTCAAACAGCTGCGGATTCAGAAGATCCAGCGGGTTTACCTCTCTCTCCGCCTTCCAAAAAGACACAATTTCCCGTGAGAGACGGTTCACCGCATTCGCCACGTCGTCCGGCTCAACATCCACGTCAGAAGCCGAGCAGAAGCAACAACAAGAATCCACGTCAGACGCCAAGAAACCCGCATTCGAGGACGTGCCGGAGGACGACGAAGACGTCGGCGAAGTCGAGAAGATTCTGGGAAGCCGCGTGGCGGAGGACGGCGTGACGCAGTATTTGATCGAGTGGAAGGACGACCATCCGGACAGCTGGGAGCCGCGCGAGAACGTCGCGGCGGACCTCGTGGCGCAGTTCGAGGAGCCGTGGTGGACTGCGGTGCGGCGCGGTGACGACGCGAAGATCGAGGAGCTGCTGGCGGAGGGGCGCGACGTGAACGCCGTTGATGGGAATGGGCGGTCTGCGCTGCTGTTCGCGGCGGGGCTTGGGAATGAGAAGGTGAGTGGGGGAATGAGGAGGTGACTTGGGGAATGAGGAGTTGATTGTGGGATTGTGATTGGGAGTGAGGGAATGAGATTATGAGTGTTGGAGTGAAATGCTGAGCGGTGGAATGAGATAACGAGTGCCGGAATGAGAAGGCGAGTCCGGAATGTGAACGCGGGTGTGGGAACGAGAAGGGGAGTGCGCGAATGGAGTGACTGCTGCTGGAGGAGGGGAGAGACGTGAATGCTATCGATGGGGATGGGCGCTCTGCGCTGCTGTTTGCGGCGGGGCTTAGGAATGAAAAGGTGAATCGTGACTCTGCCTTTCTGCTCGTTTCCGCCTGCTGTGGAAGGGGTTGGCCAAGGCTGACGCTGTGAGTATACGTTGAACGTGAACCAGCTTGGAGCCAAATCTCGTACATGAGCTGCGAGATATGAGACGACTTTTGAGGCGCCTCGAAGGCATACATTGAACGGGAGCCAGCTTGGAGCCAAATCTCGTATGTTGCATACAAGATTTCAAGACGCATTTATGTGCTTATCTCATTCGTTATTTACTCAATTTTTATGTTCGTGTTTCATTCCCTCCGTGCCATCAACCCCCAATCCCGTCGGCCACGTCAGCTGGTTCGCAAACTGCTGGAGGAGGGAGCTGACGTGGCGTGGCAGGACAAGGAGGGCTACAGCGCGCTGCACATCGCTGCGGGGTGAGTCGCTGTGGAGGGGAGAGCGTGCAGAAGCAAGGAGTGAGTTTGCGTTTTGCTGGGGGGGAGTAAGAAGGAAATAATGTAATATGAGTGCTTCTGCGTGCTTCTGCACGTCGCTGGGGGGCGCGTAAAGGGAACGAAACCTATGCTACTGTGGACAGCGGGGACCAAGTGAAGAGCAACCAGCCTCTGTTATCCAACTCCTGTAGATCGACACCACCGAATACTTACACCCCTTCCACCATCCTGAACCCTGTGTTCCCCGCTACGTGCTCCTCGGTAGTCCTCCACCACTCAACAGGTTGACAGCTACGTGTGCCCCTCTGTTGACCCCAGTTCTTGGGCGTAGGTCGAATCTATACCTGCTAGGCCATCCCACATTCGTCCATCTACTTGAACCTCATACACACCCCCCATTCCCCTCCCCCCCGTTCTCCCCCCTCCCATCCCCCAACAAATCAGGTACGTGCATTCGACGATAGTGCGCGCCTTGCTGGATCACGGGGCGGACCCCGAGCAGGAGGACAAGCAGCAGCGCTCGCCCCTCATTCTCGCGGAGCAGCTGCTCAAGGCCACTCCCGCTAATAACCCCGGCGCCGTGAGTGCTCATCACCTTGTACTGTAATGCTCTCAAGCAAGCCGTGGAAGGATTTGCTGCAAGATGAAATGGTGCACCGAGTGAGATGTCTTCAAACAATCGAACTTGCGATTTCCACCAACCATGCAGCAGAGGAGTGGTACCCCCTTGTTGCTGCAGATCCCGTCACCCTTGTCCCGCCCTAAACCACTTTGACACCTTTCTTCAGTCAGCCTGGTCCTAGCATCATCATAACCAGTAAAAAGGTATTTCCTCCTGTTACTTCTCTCCTCGTGCCACTCTCTCGTGGTGAAAGTGCCTACCCCTCTTTTCCCCCAACCCCACCCACTCCCCAACCAAAACTTTTCCCCCCTCCTTGTCAGTTCGCCCGGCGCCTGGCTCTTGACAACCTGTTGCGAGGATGCCGTATGAAGAATTTTATAACCAGCTCCCAACCTCATCCACCTCCCAACCAAACCCCTACCCGTTTTCATCTTGGTCAGTTCGCCCGGCGACATGCTCTTGAAAACGTGGTGAAGCTGCTGGATCAGGAGAACCTGTGGTGAAGATGCCAAATGAAGACATCCAAAACAAGCCTTTTTCCCTACTCCACCCACCCACCCACCCAACCCCTCTCCATCTCTGTCTCAGTTCGCGCGGCGTCTGGTTCGTGACAAGGTGGTGAAGATGCTGGACGAGGCAGTGTCAGAGGCACACCCCTCTCCTCCCATGCCCAACCAATCCCCAACCGTTTCTTTCCCTTCCCCTTGCCAGTTCGCTCGGCGTCTGGCTCTTGACAACGTGGTGAAGATGCTCGATGAGGACAATAGATCAAACGAACCTCTATCATCCCAACCTCACCCAACCCCCAATCAACCCCTTCCCCCCACCAGTTCGCGCGGCGCCTGGCCCTTGACAACGTGGTGAAGATGCTGGACGAAGCCGTGTTTGAGGAATCTGAGGTGGACCAGATCCTAGACAAGCGCATAGCGGAGGACGGCACCGTTGAGTACTTAGTTAAGTGGCAGGACGACTCAGAGGACAGCTGGGAGCCGGTGGAGAACATAGGCGAGGACTTAATTAAGGACTTTGAAGAGGGGCTGGAGTATGGTGTAGCGGAGAAAATTCTGGAGAAGCGGGTGGTGGGTAAGTCTCAGGGTGGGGACGAGGGTGTGGTGGAGTACTTAGTTAAGTGGCAGGACTCGGATGAGAACACGTGGGAGCCGGAGGGGAATGTGGCGGCTGAGGTGATAGCGGAGTTTGAGGGGGTGAGTGTGGAGGAGGTGGAGGCACGGCTGGGCAAGGAGGGAGGGAAGTAGAAAGTTGGATGTGCCCTCAACTTCATGCTTTGTTCGCCTTTGTTGGACGTGGAACAGGCATTAGGCTGTTATACAAACATTCTGTATGAAGCCAGGGTTTCCCTGGAGTTCCACCGCATCATGATTGCTTCACAATGCAGCCAAAAACCCTATACAGGACACTGCACGCAAGTACACTACTGTACACTTTTTGTAACACACACTGAGTCTCCTCCTATCCAAAACAATCCAGACCAGAGGCATTTTACGAAAGCAATTTGCAAGCAACTACCGGACGCCAAAACACTGTTGAGTGCGTGAAAGAAAAGAGGAACGGTGCTTCAGAGTGCCATCGATCAAGTGTACGCTGGTAACAACGGTGTTACTCCGTTGCTATTTGCATCACCAAGAGAAGCCAGGATGGGCCACCAGTGCCACCCTGAGGCTAACACTCAACAATCTGAGGTACGGTAACACGTGGCATGGCATGCCCCGCGCTGTCACTTGTTCTTGGCATTCAGGCCCGCAAACATGCTGGGTGCAAAGCTCGGGCGACTTTTGAGTTCACTTAGAAGACACATCCTACTGCTACATGCTCCCATGCTGTCACTTGTTCTTGGCATCAAGGCCGGCCAACATTTTGGGGGCAGCGCCACGGGGAGGCGCAAAGGCTGGGAGACCTTTGAGTTGACTCAGAAGTCTTATCCTACACGTACTACATGCTCCTACGCTGTCACTTGTTCTTGGCATCCAGGCCGGCAAACATGTTGGGTGCAGCGCCACGGGGGGGAGCAAAGCCAAGCAGCTTCTGCAGGTTGGGGCGGATGCTGAGCGAGCAGAGCATGTAAAGGAACACCATAGAGCAGTCTGTTGGGTCATCCCCTGGCAGGTTGCGGTGTGACATGTTGCGCTGTGAGTGGGGAGCAGGAGGTGGGGAGAAGGTGGGGAGGTGAGGGGTGGGGCGACGGGAGGGTTAGGGAGTGGTGAGCGAGCAGAGCATGCAGAGGAACACCATGGCGCAGTCGGTGAGGTTGTTCCCTGGCAGGCCCCAATGCACCACGTTGTGCTGTCAGTGGGGAGAAGGAGGGGGGGTGGGGTGCAGGAGGGGGGGTGGGGAGTGGGGGATGGGCGAAGGGAGCATGAAGGAGAACTGAGCGAGCAGAGCATGTAGAGGAACACCATGGAACAGTCGGTGGGGTCGTCCCCTGGCAGGTTACGGTGCGACATGTTGTGCTGTGAGTGGGGGGGCAGGGTAGGGAGTGTTAAGAGAGGGAAGAAAGGCAAGGATGCCGGGGCGAGCAGAGCATGTCCGTGGGGTCGTCCCCTGACAGGTTACGGTGGGGGAGCGGGAAATGGGGGGTTGGGGGATGGGGAGATGGGGGGGGGGGGGGGGGGGGAGGGAGTGTTGAAGAGTAAAGGAGGGCAGAGGAGCTAGGATGGTGAGGGTGAGCGAGCAGAGCATGTCAAGGAAGACCATAGAGCGATTTGTTGGGTTGTTCCGTGGCAGGTTAGGGTGCGACATGTTGCGCTGTGAGTGGGGAGTAGGGAGGGGGGTGGGGGATGAGGAGAAGGGGGCTTGAGGGATGGGGAGAAGGGAGGAGTAGAGAGAGTTGAAGCTTAGAGGAGGGAAGAACAGCAAGCACGGTGAGGGGGAGGGGGCAGGGCATGTAGAGAAACACCACGGCGCAGTCAGTTGGGTCGCATGCTGACAGGTCGAGACGCGACATGTTACGCTCAAACTGATGGGCGTCAAACTGATGTAGTGAAACAACACGCATCCTGACAGTTTGAGATGCGACATGTTACGCTCAAGCTGATGTGCGTGAAAGGGTGGAAAGCGGGTGGTGATGGGGCCGAAGAGCAGAGGAAGGACTGGGGAGTGTTACAGTGTAGAGGAGGGCAGATGAGCAAGGATAGCGAGGGAGCAGAGAATGTGGAGAAGACTGGGAGCAGAGAATGTGGAGGAATATCAAGGAGAAGGGGGTAAAATAAGAAGACTGGGGCAGTGCCCCCTCACGCCATAATGCCCTCAGGCCATAATGCCCTCAGGCCATAATGCCATGTTGCATCGTAGAGGGGAGGGGTTGGTGGGGGGAGTATGTAAGTAGGCAGAGGGAGGCGAGGGAGCAGCGCATGTATAGGAGAGGCGAGGGAGCAGCGCATGTATAGGAGAGGCGAGGGAGCAGCGCATGTATAGGAGAGGCGAGGGAGCAGCGCATGTAGAGGAGAGTCGAGGGAGCAGCGCATGTAGAGGAGAGGCGAGGGAGCAGCGCATGTAGAGGAGAGGCGAGGGAGCAGCGCATGTAGAGGAGAGGAGTACCATAGAGCGATTTTCAGGATCGTTTTCGAAAACCTTTCAGTGAAACGAGTTTCAGATCAATGATGAGAAAAAAAGGCGAATAGGTGTGGAAAGGAGAGGGAAAAGGAAGATCACAGTTCGCATGGTGAATGAATTAGTTTAAGGGAAAAGAAATTTGTGGAAACATCAGGGGTTTAGGAGAGCTGCTACAATAATGTTCATGACGAAAAAGGAGGGGAGAATAACCGGGGCGGACCTGAATGAAGGCGAAGGGCACAAAGGGCAGCTTGGCGACTGGCTTGCCGTCAAAAAGCGAGTTGAGCAGCCCGAAGACGATTAGCAGCGTTGCTGCCACCACCGCTCCGGACTGGGCGAGCACGGGGGGTTGGGATTAAGATGGGTGGGAGGCGAGGGGAGGGAGAGTTGAGACCGAAGACGATTAGCAGCATCGCTGCCACCACCGCACCGGACTGGGCGAGCAGGCGAGCATGTGCCAGTGGGTGGGGGGTTGGATCAAGATGGGGGGTGGGGAGGGAGAGGAGGGTGAGTTGAGCAGCCCGAAGACGCCACCACTGCACCGGAGGGGGTGGGGGGTGGGGGTTGAGTAGCGTTGCTGCCACCGCTGCACCGGAGTGGATGGGCAGGCGAGCATGGGGCAGTGGGTGGGGGGGGGTGGGATGGATCAAGGTGGGGGGTGGGGAGGGAGGGAAGAGAGAGTCGGGAAGCCCAAAGGCGATGAGCAGCGTCGCTGCCACCACTGCACCGGACTGGGCGAGCACGGGGTAGTGGGTGGGAGGGAGTGGGGGGTGGGGTGGATGAAGATAAGGGGAAGTAAAGAGCGAGTTGGGCAGCCCAAAGACAATCAGCAGCGTCGCTGCCACCACTGCACCGGACTGGGTGAGCGTGGGGAGGTGGGAGGGAGGGTGGATCGAGATAGGAGGACAGATGCACATGGGAGGGAAGGGAGAGAGAGTTGAGCAGCCCAGAGACGATGAGCAGCGTCGCCGCCACCACTGCACCAGACTGGGCGAGCACAGGGGGGTTGGGTGCCGGAGGGTAGATGGTGGGAGGGGAGGGAGGGGAGGGAGGGGAGGGAGGGGAGGGAGAGTTGAGAAGACCGAAGGTGATGAGCAGCGTTGCTGCCACAACTGCAGCAGACTGGGAGGGCGTGGGGCAGTGGGTGGGAGCGAGGGTGGATCAAGATGGGAGGGTGGATGAAGATGGGGGGTGGGGAGGGAGAGCTGGGAAGCCCAAAGACATTGAGCAGCGTTGCCGCCACCACTGCACCGGACTGGGCGAGCACGGGGCAGCGGGTGGGAGGGAGGGAGGGCAGGGAGAGTTGAAAAGACCGAAGGTGATGCGCAGCGTTGCCGGCACCACTGCAGCAGACTGGGCGAGTGCGGGGCGGTGGGGAGATGGATGGAGATGGGAGGGAGGATGCAGATGGGAGGGAGGATGCAGATGGGAGGGAGGATGCAGATGGGAGGGAGGATGCAGATGGGAGGGAGGATGCAGATGGGAGGGAGGATGCAGATGGGAGGGAGGATGCAGATGGGAGGGAGGATGCAGATGGGAGGGAGGATGCAGATGGGAGGGAGGATGCAGATGGGAGGGAGGATGAGATGGGAGGGAGGATGAGATGGGAGGGAGGATGGAGATGGGAGGGAGGATGCAGATGGGAGGGAGGATGCAGATGGGAGGGAGGATGGAGATGGGAGGGAGGATGCAGATGGGAGGGAGGATGGAGATGGGAGGGAGGATGGAGATGGGAGGGAGGATGCAGATGGGAGGGAGGATGCAGATGGGAGGGAGGATGCAGATGGGAGGGAGGATGCAGATGGGAGGGAGGATGCAGATGGGAGGGAGGATGCAGATGGGAGGGAGGATGCAGATGGGAGGGAGGATGCAGATGGGAGGGAGGATGCAGATGGGAGGGAGGATGCAGATGGGAGGGAGGATGCAGATGGGAGGGAGGATGCAGATGGGAGGGAGGATGCAGATGGGAGGGAGGATGCAGATGGGAGGGAGGATGCAGATGGGAGGGAGGATGCAGATGGGAGGGAGGATGCAGATGGGAGGGAGGATGCAGATGGGAGGGAGGATGCAGATGGGAGGGAGGATGCAGATGGGAGGGAGGATGCAGATGGGAGGGAGGATGCAGATGGGAGGGAGGATGCAGATGGGAGGGAGGATGCAGATGGGAGGGAGGATGCAGATGGGAGGGAGGATGCAGATGGGAGGGAGGATGCAGATGGGAGGGAGGATGCAGATGGGAGGGAGGATGGAGATGGGAGGGAGGATGCAGATGGGAGGGAGGATGCAGATGGGAGGGAGGATGCAGATGGGAGGGAGGATGCAGATGGGAGGGAGGATGCAGATGGGAGGGAGGATGCAGATGGGAGGGAGGATGCAGATGGGAGGGAGGATGCAGATGGGAGGGAGGATGCAGATGGGAGGGAGGATGCAGATGGGAGGGAGGATGCAGATGGGAGGGAGGATGCAGATGGGAGGGAGGATGCAGATGGGAGGGAGGATGCAGATGGGAGGGAGGATGCAGATGGGAGGGAGGATGGAGATGGGAGGGAGGATGGAGATGGGAGGGAGGATGCAGATGGGAGGGAGGATGCAGATGGGAGGGAGGATGCAGATGGGAGGGAGGATGGAGATGGGAGGGAGGATGGAGATGGGAGGGAGGATGAGATGGGAGGGAGGATGCAGATGGGAGGGAGGATGCAGATGGGAGGGAGGATGCAGATGGGAGGGAGGATGCAGATGGGAGGGAGGATGCAGATGGGAGGGAGGATGCAGATGGGAGGGAGGATGCAGATGGGAGGGAGGATGCAGATGGGAGGGAGGATGCAGATGGGAGGGAGGATGCAGATGGGAGGGAGGATGCAGATGGGAGGGAGGATGCAGATGGGAGGGAGGATGCAGATGGGAGGGAGGATGCAGATGGGAGGGAGGATGCAGATGGGAGGGAGGATGCAGATGGGAGGGAGGATGCAGATGGGAGGGAGGATGCAGATGGGAGGGAGGATGCAGATGGGAGGGAGGATGCAGATGGGAGGGAGGATGCAGATGGGAGGGAGGATGCAGATGGGAGGGAGGATGCAGATGGGAGGGAGGATGCAGATGGGAGGGAGGATGCAGATGGGAGGGAGGATGCAGATGGGAGGGAGGATGCAGATGGGAGGGAGGATGCAGATGGGAGGGAGGATGCAGATGGGAGGGAGGATGGAGATGGAGGGAGGATGGAGATGGGAGGGAGGATGCAGATGGGAGGGAGGATGCAGATGGGAGGGAGGATGCAGATGGGAGGGAGGATGCAGATGGGAGGGAGGATGCAGATGGGAGGGAGGATGCAGATGGGAGGGAGGGAGGATGCAGATGGGAGGGAGGATGCAGATGGGAGGGAGGATGCAGATGGGAGGGAGGATGCAGATGGGAGGGAGGATGCAGATGGGAGGGAGGATGCAGATGGGAGGGAGGATGCAGATGGGAGGGAGGATGCAGATGGGAGGGAGGATGCAGATGGGAGGGAGGATGCAGATGGGAGGGAGGATGCAGATGGGAGGGAGGATGCAGATGGGAGGGAGGATGCAGATGGGAGGGAGGATGCAGATGGGAGGGAGGATGCAGATGGGAGGGAGGATGCAGATGGGAGGGAGGATGCAGATGGGAGGGAGGATGCAGATGGGAGGGAGGATGCAGATGGGAGGGAGGATGCAGATGGGAGGGAGGATGCAGATGGGAGGGAGGATGCAGATGGGAGGGAGGATGCAGATGGGAGGGAGGATGCAGATGGGAGGGAGGATGCAGATGGGAGGGAGGATGCAGATGGGAGGGAGGATGCAGATGGGAGGGAGGATGCAGATGGGAGGGAGGATGCAGATGGGAGGGAGGATGCAGATGGGAGGGAGGATGCAGATGGGAGGGAGGATGCAGATGGGAGGGAGGATGCAGATGGGAGGGAGGATGCAGATGGGAGGGAGGATGCAGATGGGAGGGAGGATGAGATGGGAGGGAGGATGCAGATGGGAGGGAGGATGGCAGATGGGAGGGAGGATGCAGATGGGAGGGAGGATGCAGATGGGAGGGAGGATGCAGATGGGAGGGAGGATGCAGATGGGAGGGGAGGATGCAGATGGGAGGGAGGATGCAGATGGGAGGGAGGATGCAGATGGGAGGGAGGATGCAGATGGGAGGGAGGATGCAGATGGGAGGGAGGATGCAGATGGGAGGGAGGATGCAGATGGGAGGGAGGATGCAGATGGGAGGGAGGATGCAGATGGGAGGGAGGATGCAGATGGGAGGGAGGATGCAGATGGGAGGGAGGATGCAGATGGGAGGGAGGATGCAGATGGGAGGGAGGATGCAGATGGGAGGGAGGATGCAGATGGGAGGGAGGATGCAGATGGGAGGGAGGATGCAGATGGGAGGGAGGATGCAGATGGGAGGGAGGATGCAGATGGGAGGGAGGATGCAGATGGGAGGGAGGATGCAGATGGGAGGGAGGATGCAGATGGGAGGGAGGATGCAGATGGGAGGGAGGATGCAGATGGGAGGGAGGATGCAGATGGGAGGGAGGATGCAGATGGGAGGGAGGATGCAGATGGGAGGGAGGATGCAGATGGGAGGGAGGATGCAGATGGGAGGGAGGATGCAGATGGGAGGGAGGATGCAGATGGGAGGGAGGATGCAGATGGGAGGGAGGATGCAGATGGGAGGGAGGATGCAGATGGGAGGGAGGATGCAGATGGGAGGGAGGATGCAGATGGGAGGGAGGATGCAGATGGGAGGGAGGATGCAGATGGGAGGGAGGATGCAGATGGGAGGGAGGATGCAGATGGGAGGGAGGATGCAGATGGGAGGGAGGATGCAGATGGGAGGGAGGATGCAGATGGGAGGGAGGATGCAGATGGGAGGGAGGATGCAGATGGGAGGGAGGATGCAGATGGGAGGGAGGATGCAGATGGGAGGGAGGATGCAGATGGGAGGGAGGATGCAGATGGGAGGGAGGATGCAGATGGGAGGGAGGATGCAGATGGGAGGGAGGATGCAGATGGGAGGGAGGATGCAGATGGGAGGGAGGATGCAGATGGGAGGGAGGATGCAGATGGGAGGGAGGATGCAGATGGGAGGGAGGATGCAGATGGGAGGGAGGATGCAGATGGGAGGGAGGATGCAGATGGGAGGGAGGATGCAGATGGGAGGGAGGATGCAGATGGGAGGGAGGATGCAGATGGGAGGGAGGATGCAGATGGGAGGGAAGATGCAGATGGGAGGGAAGATGCAGATGGGAGGGAGGACGCAGATGGGAGGGAGGACGCAGATGGGAGGGAGGACGCAGATGGGAGGGAGGATGCAGATGGGAGGGAGGATGCAGATGGGAGGGAGGATGCAGATGGGAGGGAGGATGCAGATGGGAGGGAGGATGCAGATGGGAGGGAGGATGCAGATGGGAGGGAGGATGCAGATGGGAGGGAGGATGCAGATGGGAGGGAGGATGCAGATGGGAGGGAGGATGCAGATGGGAGGAGGATGCAGATGGGAGGGAGGATGCAGATGGGAGGGAGGATGCAGATGGGAGGGAGGATGCAGATGGGAGGGAGGATGCAGATGGGAGGGAGGATGCAGATGGGACGGAGGATGCAGATGGGAGGGAGGATGCAGATGGGAGGGAGGATGCAGATGGGAGGGAGGATGCAGATGGGAGGGAGGATGCAGATGGGAGGGAGGATGCAGATGGGAGGGAGGATGCAGATGGGAGGGAGGATGCAGATGGGAGGGAGGATGCAGATGGGAGGGAGGATGCAGATGGGAGGGAGGATGCAGATGGGAGGGAGGATGCAGATGGGACGGAGGATGCAGATGGGAGGGAGGATGCAGATGGGACGGAGGATGCAGATGGGAGGGAGGATGCAGATGGGACGGAGGATGCAGATGGGAGGGAGGATGCAGATGGGAGGGAGGATGCAGATGGGAGGGAGGATGCAGATGGGAGGGAGGATGCAGATGGGAGGGAGGATGCAGATGGGAGGGAGGATGCAGATGGGAGGGAGGATGCAGATGGGAGGGAGGATGCAGATGGGAGGGAGGATGCAGATGGGAGGGAAGATGCAGATGGGAGGGAGGACGCAGATGGGAGGGAGGATGCAGATGGGAGGGAGGACGCAGATGTGAGGGAGGATGCAGATGGGAGGGAGGATGCAGATGGGAGGGAGGATGCAGATGGGAGGGAGGATGCAGATGGGAGGGAGGATGCAGATGGGAGGGAGGATGCAGATGGGAGGGAGGATGCAGATGGGAGGGAGGATGCAGATGGGAGGGAGGATGCAGATGGGAGGGAGGATGCAGATGGGAGGGAGGATGCAGATGGGAGGGAGGATGCAGATGGGAGGGAGGATGCAGATGGGAGGAGGATGCAGATGGGAGGGAGGATGCAGATGGGAGGGAGGATGCAGATGGGAGGGAGGATGCAGATGGGAGGGAGGATGCAGATGGGAGGGAGGATGCAGATGGGAGGGGGAGGATGCAGATGGGAGGGAGGATGCAGATGGGAGGGAGGATGCAGATGGGAGGGAGGATGCAGATGGGAGGGAGGATGGAGATGGGAGGGAGGATGGAGATGGGAGGGAGGATGCAGATGGGAGGGAGGATGCAGATGGGAGGGAGGATGCAGATGGGAGGGAGGATGCAGATGGGAGGGAGGATGCAGATGGGAGGGAGGATGCAGATGGGAGGAGGATGCAGATGGGAGGGAGGATGCAGATGGGAGGGAGGATGCAGATGGGAGGGAGGATGCAGATGGGAGGGAGGATGCAGATGGGAGGGAGGATGCAGATGGGAGGGAGGATGCAGATGGGAGGGAGGATGCAGATGGGAGGGAGGATGCAGATGGGAGGGAGGATGCAGATGGGAGGGAGGATGCAGATGGGAGGGAGGATGCAGATGGGAGGGAGGATGCAGATGGGAGGGAGGATGCAGATGGGAGGGAGACCTTCGGCGATCATCAGCGATCGAGATCCGAAATTTACGTCGAAGTTCTGGCAGGAGACGTGGGCACAGTACGGTACCCGCCTGCAGTTTTCGTCGTCATACCACCCGCAAACCGACGGACAGACAGAACGGACAAATCAGGCCATGGAACAACTGATTCGCACTAACTGCCCGGATATTCGCAAGTGGGAGGACTCATTGCCGATGCTGGAATTCGCGTACAACAACGCCCCTTCGGCCACGACCAGACAATCACCCTTCTACTTGAATGGGAGGGAGGATGCAGATGGGAGGGAGGACGCAGATGGGAGGGAGGATGCAGATGGCAGATGGGAGGGAGGATGCAGATGGGAGGGAGGATGCAGATGGGAGGGAGGATGCAGATGGGAGGGAGGATGCAGATGGGAGGGAGGATGCAGATGGGAGGGAGGATGCAGATGGGAGGGAGGATGCAGATGGGATGAGGATGCAGATGGGAGGGAGGATGCAGATGGGAGGGAGGATGCAGATGGGAGGGAGGATGCAGATGGGAGGGAGGATGCAGATGGGAGGGAGGATGCAGATGGGAGGGAGGATGCAGATGGGAGGGAGGATGCAGATGGGAGGGAGGATGCAGATGGGAGGGAGGATGCAGATGGGAGGGAGGATGCAGATGGGAGGGAGGATGCAGATGGGAGGGAGGATGCAGATGGGAGGGAGGATGCAGATGGGAGGGAGGATGCAGATGGGAGGGAGGATGCAGATGGGAGGGAGGATGCAGATGGGAGGGAGGATGCAGATGGGAGGGAGGATGCAGATGGGAGGGAGGATGCAGATGGGAGGGAGGATGCAGATGGGAGGGAGGATGCAGATGGGAGGGAGGATGCAGATGGGAGGGAGGATGCAGATGGGAGGGAGGATGCAGATGGGAGGGAGGATGCAGATGGGAGGGAGGATGCAGATGGGAGGGAGGATGCAGATGGGAGGGAGGATGCAGATGGGAGGGAGGATGCAGATGGGAGGGAGGATGCAGATGGGAGGGAGGATGCAGATGGGAGGGAGGATGCAGATGGGAGGGAGGATGCAGATGGGAGGGAGGATGCAGATGGGAGGGAGGATGCAGATGGGAGGGAGGATGCAGATGGGAGGGAGGATGCAGATGGGAGGGAGGATGCAGATGGGAGGGAGGATGCAGATGGGAGGGAGGATGCAGATGGGAGGGAGGATGCAGATGGGAGGGAGGATGCAGATGGGAGGGAGGATGCAGATGGGAGGGAGGATGCAGATGGGAGGGAGGATGCAGATGGGAGGGAGGATGCAGATGGGAGGGAGGATGCAGATGGGAGGGAGGATGCAGATGGGAGGGAGGATGCAGATGGGAGGGAGGATGCAGATGGGAGGGAGGATGCAGATGGGAGGGAGGATGCAGATGGGAGGGAGGATGCAGATGGGAGGGAGGATGCAGATGGGAGGGAGGATGCAGATGGGAGGGAGGATGCAGATGGGAGGGAGGATGCAGATGGGAGGGAGGATGCAGATGGGAGGGAGGATGCAGATGGGAGGGAGGATGCAGATGGGAGGGAGGATGCAGATGGGAGGGAGGATGCAGATGGGAGGGAGGATGCAGATGGGAGGGAGGATGCAGATGGGAGGGAGGATGCAGATGGGAGGGAGGATGCAGATGGGAGGGAGGATGCAGATGGGAGGGAGGATGCAGATGGGAGGGAGGATGCAGATGGGAGGGAGGATGCAGATGGGAGGGAGGATGCAGATGGGAGGGAGGATGCAGATGGGAGGGAGGATGCAGATGGGAGGGAGGATGCAGATGGGAGGGAGGATGCAGATGGGAGGGAGGATGCAGATGGGAGGGAGGATGCAGATGGGAGGGAGGATGCAGATGGGAGGGAGGATGCAGATGGGAGGGAGGATGCAGATGGGAGGGAGGATGCAGATGGGAGGGAGGATGCAGATGGGAGGGAGGATGCAGATGGGAGGGAGGATGCAGATGGGAGGGAGGATGCAGATGGGACGGAGGATGCAGATGGGAGGGAGGATGCAGATGGGAGGGAGGATGCAGATGGGAGGGAGGATGCAGATGGGAGGGAGGATGCAGATGGGAGGGAGGATGCAGATGGGAGGGAGGATGCAGATGGGAGGGAGGATGCAGATGGGAGGGAGGATGCAGATGGGAGGGAGGATGCAGATGGGAGGGAGGATGCAGATGGGAGGGAGGATGCAGATGGGAGGGAGGATGCAGATGGGAGGGAGGATGCAGATGGGAGGGAGGATGCAGATGGGAGGGAGGATGCAGATGGGAGGGAGGATGCAGATGGGAGGGAGGATGCAGATGGGAGGGAGGATGCAGATGGGAGGGAGGATGCAGATGGGACGGAGGATGCAGATGGGAGGGAGGATGCAGATGGGACGGAGGATGCAGATGGGAGGGAGGATGCAGATGGGAGGGAGGATAGAGGTGGGTGGGAGGGTGGGGTGGGAGAGTTGAGAATGGCAAAGGGCGACGAGAGCGTGCTCGCACTGCTCCGACTGAGGAAGAAGCAGTGGGAGGACGTGGATGGAAGGGAGGCGAGGGGTGGAGGGGGATAGAGAAAGAGGGAGAAAGAGGGGGGTGTGAGAGAAAGTGAGGGGGGGGAAAGAGGAGGGGGAAGGAGGCAAGGGGGGGTGGGGGGAAAGTGGTGATGGAAAGCAGGAGAGGAAGAAAAACGGGGGGGGACAAAGCAGGGGGCGGACGTGGGAATGGGGCAAAGCGGGAGATCTGGGCGGCACTGGGAGACAAGCACGCGCGCGGCAGCTCAGAGGACGGAAATTACCAGGAAGGACTACCAGCCATTGGTTGATCGTCGAATCTGAAACCAGGCTCGGGCTGATCACCGTACCTGGAACTTGGCTCGGCTGAGCGCCTGGTTCGAGTCCTTGAGGCTCTGTTCGAACCGCCCGATCTTGCGCGACGCGCTTTTCCTTCCCGCCGCCGCCGCCGCCGCTCCCGCTTGGCGCTCCTTCATCGACTCCACACGGCGGCTCGTCTTCTCTATGCTCTGCGTTAACGCGCGATAGCTGGCGGTGCGGTAGATTAAGACCCACGAGATGAACTCGCAGAGGAGAGCCGCGACGGCGGAAATGGCGACCACCACGAGCCCATCGCCGTACTGCATGATTGGTCGGCGAGAGAGGGATATGAGCGAACGCGGGAAACCAGAGAAGTTGGAGATGACAGAAAGCGTGGGTACTAGTTGTACGAATGGGTGCTGATTCCGTGAAACGATGTATCAAAGGCAGCGAGCGACGATCAGAAGCAGCAGTGAAGAACTGGAGTTCCACACGTGTGATCGTGGATGGGATATGCTGGAGTGGTGATCTGGATTTCGCAGTCCGACGATTTTGCATGATCGATCCTGTGCAGCGTCAATTGTTTCCGGAGTTGAAAACGGCTCTAGAATCTTTCCAATGTAAAAAGCAGGTTTCACATGCGGTGGTCGATCCTTGACAATCGGCCGTGCAAAATCGTAAGGGGTTACGCGTCCTCTCCTCAGTGAAAGAGAGCAATGCGAACTATGAAACTAAGGGCGCGGCACCAATTTTTGAGATAGTTCGAGCTTGTTATAGCGGACCATGCTACTAACGCGTTTCGAAGCACGAAGCACGAACAGACATCGTGTCGCACTTCTTTGGTAGTTCAGCATTTCCAAATAACTGTAACCAAGCAACAGAAGTTTACACTTTCGCCGTGTGCACCTGTCGTTTCGCGGAAATTAATATTCCACAAAGCGGTTCGGCTGTTTTCGATTTCGGCCAAATTCGTGCGCCAACCACAAACCAGTTACTGATGAGTACCGTAGAGTTGTTCGTTCGGAAAACGGACGACGGTTGAGCATTTTCACATGTAAGGGCGTATCCAGGTTCGGGTCATGAGCACTGTTCCGGGCATGCGCGATTTGCGGATGACCCAAACAACATAAAACGCATGTTTGGGTCATGCGAGGGTTTTCGCGCCAAAATCCAGCTCCCCACAACAGTCGCATCCAATGGAGGGATGCCAGAACATTTCGAAAGGTCATTAGCGAGACCCACGCAAAACCACGCGACACTCACTGAGAAAACTAATAAGAAACGAGAAATGAATGCATTGAGCAGCATGAGGAGTACAAGTACCAAACCCTAAAGTGTTGTACCCCATGTAAGCTACCCCACTACAGCCTACACAGACTATAGTATATGAGTTTGACACACCCCCATAGGCAAAGTGGGGGAGAACAAGGGGTCACAAGACCAGTCAAGCAAAGCAAGGCAAAGCAAGCTCAGGGTGGATCACAACGTCACCACACATTCTGAGCACAAGTTCAAGGCCACAAGGCCAGTTCACATGCAAGATTACATATATATAACGCTAAACAAGCAAGAGCAGGTATATATATATGTAACAGTACAAGCAAGGTCAAGAAGTGAGCAAGTGAGGCAAGGTAGGCACAAGACCTAACAGAGTACAGAAGCGCTGATGATCACAAGGCGCGAGTGCCTTAGTGAAGATATCAGCAGTGTTGGCCTGAGAGGCCACGTAAGCAAGGCGCAGCTGACCACGCTGCTGCAGCTCACGAGCAAGGAAGTAGCGAAGAGCGATGTGCTTCGTTCTGTGCTCCAGTCTGTGCTCCCGACACAAGGCCAGCATGGCCTTGTTGTCTACGTACAGCACTGGAGGAGAACGAGGCGGCTCTCCCAGGTCAGTCAGCAGGTAGGTGAGCCAGCGTAGCTCCTGTGCAGCCATGGCCCCTGCGTAGATCTCAGCCTCACAACTGGAGCCGAGAACAGAAGACGAGCGGGTAGACCGCCACGAAACAGAGCCGGAACCAAGGCTGAAGGTGTAACCCTGTGACGACCGCTGCGTAGCCTGGTCGTCAGCCCAAGAAGCGTCTGCGTGACCAGTGAGGACCACTGGACTCTGCCCTCCAAGCACAAGCCCCATGCCTGACGTACTGCACAAGTAGCGCAACACCCTCTTCGCTGCAGCCATGTGCTCTGGTCTGTGTCTCCCAGGAGCAACATAGCGTGCCAGAATGCTAAGAGGGTATGCAAGGTCAGGTCGAGTGCAGGTCATCAGGTACATGAGGCAGCCAACAAGCTCTGGGTACGGGCCACTCGACTCTACGGACTCATCCGAAGGCAGAGCTGAGAGCGAGTGGCGTGTAGACAGAGGAGTGGCCTGAGGCGAGGAGTACGTGAAGCCGAAGCGCTGAAGGACCTGCTGCACCATGTGCGACTGAGTCAGGGTAATGGTGCGCTGTGCTCTGTCCCGGGTGATCTGCAAGCCAAGATAGCTGCGCAGTTCACCCAAGTCTGTGCACGTGTGTCTCTTCTGCAGCTCGGACTTCACGTAGGCGAGTCCAGCAGTGTCAGCTGTAGCAAAGACCAAGTCGTCGACGTACACAAGGATGTAGAACGGCGGCAAAGAAGTGTCGGTGCGCAGAAACAGCGACGGGTCGGCAGTAGAAGGAGCAAACCCAAGAGCCGCAAGTGTAGTCCTCAGTGTGTCGTGCCACTCACGAGGTGCCTGGCGGAGACCGTAGACTGGCCGCCGGAGGCTCCACTGGGTGCCAGGAGGAAAAGTCCCAGTGAAGCCAGGTGGGCGGCACAGCCAGATCTCCTCGTGCAGGCTGCCCTGCAAGAAAGCAGTGCTGAAGTCAAGAGAGTGCAGCTCGTAGTCTCGGTGAGCGGCTATGTGCAGCAGTACCCGAAGAGTGGTCATCTTCGGGGTGGGAGAGAAGGTCTGAAAGTAGTCAACTCCCTGCCGCTGACTGAAGCCACGAGCCACGTAACGCGCCTTGAAGACAGGCGGAGAACCCGGCGGCCGCTTCACCCTGAAAATCCACATGCCACTGACGATGTTCGCCCCAGGCGGGGGAACCTCGTCAACGTAGGTGCCTGTGGACTTCCAGGAAGCCATCTCTGCGTCCATGGCTGCCTGCCACTGAGAGGAGTAGGGACCCTCTATCGCCTCCGCGTAAGAGCGCGGAGTCGGGATGTCAAGTGCATCCGGGTCTCCCTCAGGGGCAAGCAGCATGGACACGAGATGAGGTGAAGCAGCAGCCAAGCACTGGAACTCCTCCTGCCTGTCCTCAAGGACGTCCGTGCCAAGAGCACACTCACCCCCGACGGACGGAGGACATACAGACTCAGACTCAGCGACGAGACTGGCAGCGTAGTCTAGGCGACAGCGAGCAGCGAAGTCGACAAGCTCAGCAACTAAGGCAGACGCAGCAGCAGACTCAAAGGAAGGGTCAGTGACGACAGTAGCAAGGAGACGCGTGACAGTAGGACGCGCAGCACGAAGGGAGTCCGACTCCGGGTCAGCAAGTGCAGGAAGAGAGGACTCGGGAGGAGAAGGCAAAGGGGCACGCAGTGGAGCAGTGGAAGGACGCAGAGACATCCGGTGCGTGCCGGGGACAGGGGGAGGACGCTGACGCGAACCACGACCACTAGTGCGAGCAGCACGGACAGGCGACGCAGGGCGAGACGCAGGCTCACGACGCTCAGCAAGACCTCCAGTAGGACCAGTGTAGGGAGAAGGAGAAGGAAGCGGGGAGGCTGGCTGTAACTGTGACTCAGACTGGACAGGAGGCGGACACTCGAAGCCAGGAGCAGGACCAAGAGAGGACGGAAGACCAAGAACCTGCTCAAGGAGCGGAACGAAGTACGGCCGTGGCCGCGCAGCGCCACCAGTACCAGCAGGAACAGCACCAGCACCCCCAACGGCAGCACCAGCACCAGGAGTACCCCCAGCTCCAGCAGCGCCAACTCCAGCACCCTCAGAAGCACCAGCGCCAGTAGCACCTCCAGTGCCAACACCCCCAGTAGCTCCAGCTCCAGTCGGACCACCAGAAGACGCAGCAGCTCCAGCTCCAGGAGCACCAGCAGCACCAACGCCAGTAGCACCAATAGCACCAGCAGCTCCAGCACCAGGAGCACTCGTAGGCCCAGCAGCTCCAGTACACCCTGTACGAGCACCTCCGGGACCCGCTGCACCAGCACCCTCAGCAGCAGCAGAACCTCCAGCGTCCGTAGCACCGCCAGCTCCAGCAGCACGCCTCCAGCGCCGGGCAAACCACTCACGCAGCTCCTGTGGAGAGAGTAGCTCCCGCCGGGACGAAGCACCCGAAGAACCTCCAGGCCCAGCACCACCAGACGCCACACGAGCAGGCCCAGCACCCTCAGGCTCCGCACTCCGAGACGCAGCACCCCCAGGCTCAGCACCCCCAGGCGCAGCACCCCCAGGCTCAGCACCCCCAGGCGCAGCACCTCCAGGCTCAGCACCCCCAGGCTCAGCACCCCCAAGCTCAGCACCCCCAGTCGCAGCACCCCCAGACCCAGCACCCCCAGGCTCAGCACCCCTAGCAGCACCAGAGTCAACAGCTACCTCGACAGGCTCGACCGCATCTACCTGGGACACACCTGAGGGGGCAGGACCCTGAGGGGGGAGGGGGTCTACCGGAGGGGGACCTGGCGTAAGGAAGAGCGGCGGGGGAGGGAGGGACGCAGTGCGGTAGGGGAAGAGACGGTAGTAGGGAACCGACTCGTCAAAGGTGACGTCCTGGGAGGACAGAACACGGCGCGAGGTGGGGTGGTAGAACTGCCAGCCTGGCGCGTCAGGAGGGAAGCCAAGGAAGACGCAGGGAACAGCACGAGAGGACAGCTTGTCCGCAGACAAGTCGCGGACAAACGCCCGAGATCCCCAGACACGGAACGCAGACGCATCGCCAACCTTCCCCGTCCACAGTAAAGCAGGGGAGGTCTCCGGCATGGAGACCCGGGGGTGAAGGTTGATCTGATGCGCCGCGTACCGAACCGCAAACGGCCACAGAAAATGGGGGGCAGCCGCATGGACCATGGACGTACGAGCGACGTCCATGATCATGCCAATGCGGCGCTCAGCAATCCCATTTTGCTGTGGAGAGTCCGGAAGCGTGAAGGTCTGGCGGATGCCTCGTGCACGACAGAAGGCCCGCAGAAGGTCAGAGGAGAACTCTCCGCCTCTGTCGGAGTGCAGACGCAGAACAGGAAAGTCAGAGCCGAAACTCTCCCGGAGCTGGAGACGAGCTGCGCGGATCCAGGCGATCAACACCTCAGTGACGTCACCCTTGCTGCGCAAGGGGAAGACTGTGGT